ATCCACTGATTATAGAATCACAGAATCAACTAGATGGTTCAGGAAAGGTCACAACAAGCTATCAGATATATCAAAAAGAAAAGAATCTAAAAATTCTAACACTGCCCTAACCTTTGGCTCCTCTATAACTATTAGTTGAAGCTTCTGGTTCAGTCTGTTGAGCAGTTAGGAATGTGTCAATGATATGAATTCCATAGGAAGCCAAACCAGAAACTCCACTACAGGAACTCATCAGATGCACTCCAACTACTAACAGCAACATAAAGATGCAAACCAGTTTCCTCAGACAGCCTCAAACACGCACTTTTTGAGGAATCCCACCGAATCTAGTCCAGATCAGACCACACCAAATCTAGTCCAAAGTAAAACAAACCTTCCACTTTATTTGAGTGTAGGTGTAGGGCCATACCCACCAACTGTTGCCATTTACTCATTCATTTCTGTTTTACCAAACTATTTGCAAACCTTTTCTCCAGGTTTTTCAATGACTGTGTTTACTTGGCAGGAAAGTAGAAGCAGTGACATTTAGGTTGTTACTGAAATCTTTTTGCTTCATCTACACGTGCATTCAGTAGGATGAAGTGCAAGTTTACGCCTTTTTCCCCTCCCAGAAAGTTTCTCCACTCAAATCTGAAGTCTAGATGAACTAAGTCCAACTGCACAAGTAAAATTACCCACCCTCCTGTAGTTTACAGTCACACACAAATAGCTGGAAGAACAGCACAACTGGGCAACCACTTTAGAGAAGCAACATCTGAACACATATGGGACTATGGCACCATGAAATAAAATATGAGTCTTCAGTTGCCATTCAGTTCTTTGTGATTAACCATAATGGACATGAGGAGGGGGAAAAAAAAAAACAAAAAAAAAACAAAAAAAGGAAAGGAAAAACACTTCAGTGCAATATAAAATGTTCCTGAACAGCTGAAAGCAGATGAGCACCATGAGATAGCCAGGCAGATGTAACAAAGGTCACAATCAATCTGTCACCAAGAGACCAGTGGCACCCACGTGCTACATTTATGTCTGCAAATACCAAAAGAGCAAACATGCTAACCCTTCTACAGAAAGAGCACACTTTTTCTCTCTACTGTAGGTGCCTGATGCTGACAACTCCTGATGGACAACTCCTTCACCTCCATGAAACCACATTAAATCCAGCACAGCTCAGCATATTTGAAAGGAGTTACTAAAGACAATTGATAATGCACATGGCACATGATGCCTGTTCTAATGAATACTTGTCTCATTATAAAGATCTGGAAATCACACTAAGTGGAAAGCTCATGCTTCGTAACAGTGTTTGAACAAATCATTTTCCAACAAATCACTCAATATGAAGGAAACATCATTAAGAAACCAACTGAAAAAAAAAACAGGAGTAGGAAACAATCAAAACTATTTTCCACGGCAACCACACAAAAAGAAAAATCGTAAAACAAGAAGATTTAGCTGGTTTATGCATAAAGGGAAGTTGATTTATGTATAGGAGTGACTTGCTCATGAAGATTTAAACGTTAATACTCTAAATAGAGAGATAACATATCTCTAACTTACACAGATCATGTTTGGCTCCAGAAGCGATGTACTAAACTACTTCTAGATAACTCTTTACTGCTGTCTTATACAAGTTCAGTTTAGTTCCTAACAGCCACTGCGGACCACTTTGCCTGTACGTGTTTGCCGTGGGGAAAAACAAACAAAACACACCCCCCTCCCCAAAAAATCCCAAATTTAATATTGCCTTGCAAACAGGATTTGCTGTTTCATAGAGACCAGCAATAGTAACATACATTATATGCTCTCCAGTGACCCAAAATGCTTTACAAACTGCCTTTCAGAACCATTCATTCCTCATAAAACACCGCCTGAATGAAATGCAACAGCTTCTTCTGAAGGAAACACAGAAAGCTAGCTAGGACAGAGCAAATGAAGAACAGCTTTTCCACCTCTGGTGAAAAGTTTTATTTCAGAGGCAACACCCAGCTAACTGCTGCGCGTCCTGGATGGAAACTAATGTAGTCTTGGCCAGAAGAGAACATTTCCAGTAAGCGGAAACCCAAGGAGTGCTCCAGAGCACAGAACTGGCACCAGTCCAAAGCAGCAGCTAAGGAAAGCATCACCATTAGCTGGAGCCTCACTTGGCAACACTCTTCGTGGTCTTTGACAGCAGCAGCAGCACCTTGCCTACCCCACCTGAGCTCCACAGCAAAGCGCACAAGGAGCCAGCAAACTGGGCATGGAGAACACGCTGCACCATCAACAGCATTAGACCAAGACAGACGCCCAACAGGGTGTTGCAAACGTCAGAAAACCACACTTCAACACAGCTGACCACAAGCATGTAACTTTTAAAGACCATTCTGATTTTTGTTAAGAAGTTGCAAAGACTGTTTACAAGTTACCCTCTTAACTACCGCCACTATTTTACCTAAGTAGATCAAGCCAAATCCTCCCTGGCCGATCTGGCTGCCCAGCCGCCACACTTTCCCTTCGGTGTCTTTCAGGATCATGTCTCTGGGGAGAGGAACCGGCAGCTTGCCTTTGCCGCGATCCTTTGGCGGCATCGCACCTTGAGAGAGAGGAAAAAACGAAATCAAAAGCTGACTTTGATCAGAAGAAACAACATCCCTCAAAGTCCTTTGCCCAGCGGGCCCAGCTCGCTCCCCCTCAGGGCCGCTTTTCCCCGTCCCGGGCCTTTCAGCGGAGCGGAAGCCGGGGCTGCTCACCCACTGCGGCGTCCGCTCCGCCGGGACAGGGCAGTGAGCGCTGGGCCCCGCCGCCCGCTCCCCCCCCCCCCCCCCCGCACCTCCACAGGAGCCCCTCGGGCTCCCTCCGCCGCCGGCCGCAAACTTCCCAGCCGGGAACTTCCCGCGGGGCGGGTGCAGGAGGCAGCGGAGGCGGTGAGCGGCCGTCCTCCCGCTGGAGCCCCGGCTCGGGCCTCGCTCCGCCGCCCGGCTCCCCTCAGCAGCGCGGAGCCCGCCCTGGGGGAGGCGCGCGCCGTTTCCCGCCTCCCGGCCGTGTGGCGCTGCCCGCTGAGGCGGCGGCGGGACATGGAGGAGGTCGATGAACAGCGGCGATTTCCCATCCCTTCGGCTGTCCCGCTTCTAAAGGTGCGCTGGCGAGTGAGGAACTCATCTATTTGGGTTGTTTTTTTCCTTTTTAAACTGTTTTGGTGCATATAGGTGTGTGTGATCGGGGTGTTCCGTGCCCGGGGTTAAAATAAAGTACAAAAGTCAGGTTGTAGCTTGGGAAAGGAACTCAAAGCTCCTCCAGCTCCAACCCCTGCCACAGGCAGGGACACCTTCCCCTGGAGCAGCTTGCTCCAAGCCCCTGTGTCCAACCTGGCCTTGAACACTGCCAGGGATGGGGCAGCCACAGCTTCTCTGGGCACCCTGTGCCAGCGCCTCAGCACCCTCACAGGGAAGAGCTTCTAAGGTCTAACCTGAATCTCCCATTTTAAGTGTGAACCCTGTGGTTTCATGACACAGCAAGGACTTCAGGAGCTGTAATGAAGTCATAGAGCCATCATGGTACCACCCCTCAGTCAGGCCACCTCACTTTGGCCTCAGGATCTTCCTGGCATAGCTCAAGGATCAATCCTACACATACAAACACTTTCCCAGGGCAGTGCTGGAGCCACCATCCCTGCAAATGTTCACACACCGTGTAGACGAGGCCCTCAGTGCCATGGGTTAGTGGTGGCCTTGGCAGGGCTGGGGCAAAGATTGGACTTCATGATTCTGAAGGTCTTTTCCAACCTTGTTGGTTCTTTGATTTCCAAACTTACCCCAAAGCCATCATGCAGCACCTCTCGCGTTCACACTGGGTGACATGGCAGAGGCTGGTGCTGCCCCAGAGTGCAGTGAGAAGAGCAAAGGCCAAATGACAGCCGTTGCTGCACAGAAGTACAGATGGAGCTGAACCAGGGGTGGTGGGGCAGTCATATCACTGCCATTAGCTTATGAGCTGAAAATTAGAACCAACAACAAACCCTCAGCGCCCTTTAGCTCCCCAAGCACATAGAGCATACCTCTGATCACAAGCCACCATCTTGTGTGATCTCTGATTTATTAACAGGGTCCACTCACCCAGCCAGCACACTACACCTAGTTAGAGCTCCCTGGGGACCACCACATCTTCCCAGCAGTGACTTCTTGTCCTTATACATAAATAAATTTCACAAACAATGGAAGTCCAGAACTTCTTCAGCAACCACAATTTCCAAGTAAACTTAAAATCGTAGAATCACAAAATAGTTTGGGTTGGAAAGGATCTTAAGATCTAGTTCCAAACCCCTGCAACGGGCAGGGCCACCTTCTTCTAGAGGAGGTTGCTCCAAGCCCTGTCCAGCCTGGCCTTGAACACTACCAGGGATGGGGCTGCAATAGCTTTTCTGGGCACCCTGTTTCAGTTCCTCATCACCCTCACAGTAAAGAACTTCCTCCTTATAGCTAACCCAAACTTTCCCTGCTTAAGCTTAAAAGAATTACTCCTTGTTTTATCACTACAGTTAATATTAACACAGATTGTGACTGAAAGTACATAATGCCATCAGTAGAGTAGGCCTTAACATAACAACCTTTTCTGCTTCATCAGTCTTGCAGGCTTTGTTGTTTTAGCATTACTGAAAGGACCAGCTAAAGAATTGCCAGTAGAAAACTCATCCATAAAAAAGTCAAGATTCATTTGCTTTATGCCATAAAACTTTTTGTAGGGTTTTTCTCCTCTTTGGAACAGCTGTCAAAACAGGCTGTAGGAGTGTAGTGTTGGGATAGTTTTGTTTGTGTGTCGGGGTTTTTTGTTGTGTTTCCCCTGCAAAAACCACCCAAACAACCCGAGATGCCTAGTGCTGCGTCAAAGAAACCATTACCATTCTCTGGAGAGAGCTAGCACCTTTATTCACAGAGAGCACTTGGGCAATGCTGTCAGGGTGTCTCACTTGGGATGACAGCCACTCTTCTGCCACACGCAAAAAGTCTTCTCAAAGAAAATTGTCTTCAAATAGTTACCTGGGAACCAGAGAACTTGCTTGTGTTGAAGGAGAAAGCTTTTCTGCTCAACTGTTGCAAAAAGGGATTCACATGATTAAACCGAAAAGGATGCATTAGAGAGCTTACTGCTTCTGAGCTATCTTACCCTGCCTGTAGAAGTACATCAGGATAAGGAAGTGAAACAAATCTGGTGAGGTTTGCATCTGTCTTCTAGACATTCAGCAGACACCAGTGATAGCATTAGGTTGCTAGCAGAGACCTACATTGTTACGTAGTTTAAGGCTCCTTTTTTGGGGATCCAGGAGAAAACACCTACAAATTAAGAGACAAAAATGTGTAGAAATTGTGGTGTGTTTTTTTTTTTCCCCCACACATTAAGTATGGATGAATAAAAAGGTACATGTTCCTAAAGAAACAAAATTGATTAGATATTCCTATTTTTTTTCTGAGTACACAAGGCCTGCAGTTCATTTACATTTCATTCCCCCAAAACCATTGAGAATACTTTTAACATCAGGAAGTTAGTAGAATACATTGATTTAATGAAAGGTTGGTGTTCATTACAAAACTTCACAATTCAGAAATGTAAGTTGTTTTAAACTTACTTACTGCTTTTTATTCCTGAGCAAGGATAAGATCACAAAAAGAAAACAAGTTCTGATGCATAATGAAGTCATCAGAAAAGGCTATTTCAAAAATACTCATTTCAAGCTAATAGCAAAACTAAAAGTAGAAACCAATACACCAGGCTCTATTTAACTGTTAATGAGTATAGTAGCATAATCTATTACTCTTTGAAGTCAGGCTACACAACACCCTTTTTACCCATGCAAGACTGATACATCCATAGGCAGCTGAGGTTTAAGGTCTTCAATTTTCAACTAAAGCTTTCCTTTCCTAAAAAAAAAAAAAGAAACAACAACTCTACAGCTTGAACTCTACTCAAAAGCAAAGGTATCTGAAGTCTTAGTTCCCTTTAATATCACGTGGCTCTTTCACAGCTTGTACAACTTAACAATGTCATGTAGCATAAAAAGGTTTAAAATATATATTCTGCAAGTCACAGAAAATAATTATCAGTTTGTTGACATTTGTTTGGGAATTTGGCTTATTTTTATTTAAAAAAGCATTTACATAAAATTGAAGGCTTAAAAACTTTTATTGTTTATTGCAAGAGTTAAAAATCCCTCAGACAAGTGTACAGGAATGTGATAAGGACTAATAATACTACTCAGACTAATAAGCAAAAACCAATTTATTAGAAAGAGAAGCTTCCTGCATATATCAGACTCCTTCTGAAGGATGAGTTCATCTGTCACTTAAAATCAGATATTTATTAATAAGGCTGACAGAAATATATACAAGTGTCTAGAATGTATTTCATACAACTCTGTTCTAGACAACGCTGAACGAGGAATCAACACATGGACCTACTTAAAAATCAATAAAGACCAAAAACTTTACCTGAGAAAAGCTCTAATCAGACTAGAGCTTGGTACTAGGTCCTTTGGCCCTATATATAACACATCCCTATGCTTTGTGGGTGGGACTGAGGAAACCTCTTGGGCTTCTGGGCTGAACTGGAGATAGGGTTGGTTTCTTTTTCTCCTGCTTACTGTCAGCTGGTTAGCAACTCTCCCAACAAACATGAGCTTCATTTAGTCAGGTTAAAGCCTCTATTGCCTCTTCACAGTTGCTTCAAATTAGCAGTTAGCTGTTGTGATTTAAGGGGGAGTGAATGGCCAAAATAATGACAGGTAGGGGTGTGGGCTTTTATTTGGTATTTGGGTTTGTTTGGTTTTGGTTTGTTTTCAGAAAAGACTAATTATGGTGGAAGTAATTTTCCTTTAAGGTGGTATAGCCACCATTACTGCCAAATTCAAGAATCATAGGAGAGAGGTGTGTATATAATAAGAGTAAAAATACACAAATCATTCCTGCATCCGACTGGAAATGCTAACAAATTACTGTTATTGCACTTCCTCAGAGCTCATTGCTTCAAACAGCTGAGGGCCACAGGCCCTTCTCATGAAGCATCTATCCTTCATGCATCTCAGGTAGGCATTTTCTTATTAGTCAGAGGTATATATTAGAAGTGGTGGAAAGACCTCTATCTGGATGTTTTAGTGCTCCTGACATCTTCAGGGGCTTATTCATTTGCTTTGCTTGGTATATATTTACTATTATACTGATATTACAACAATACATGATGGCTGAGGAAATGTGAGCTTCTCTGCAGAGTTGATACAGGTATGGTTGCTGTTGTATTCCTGATAAAGATAATGGTGGTGCAATACTTTTTAGGCTAATCTGTGTATTTGTTAATGCCCTGAGCTGTGCTTTCTGCAAGGCAAATACAGGGATCTAGTTTTGGAGTGAAGATCTGTGTGTAGATAACTTTAGTTCATACAATGGTTCAAAGTTATATACCTAAGTAGCATTTCAATAAAAGGTTCTGCTATCTTGTTATGTATTCAGGTGCCTGGTGCTATTTAATATCTGGCTTTCTGGATTTGTAGGTGCCCCAAAGGCACTTTGAAAGTTATAAGTGAATCTGTAAAGTTTAAACTTTGCAAGTTCTATCCACACCTGTGATTCAGAAGCAGCACCCTATTTCTAATTGTCTTTCTAGAATAAGGTCTAGAAGGTGACAAAAAGTTATGTTGTATTACCATGGGTTGCATTTAAAAAGTGTGGTAGGATTCTCAGGGGGTGAGTGCTTTCTTTAGGTGTTTAAAAACATAGCAAACTATTTTTATTTCAGGCCTGAGGCTGTATTTGGTTTTGGCTTTGTTTTGAAACACTATATATTAAATACTTGGTGCATTTTCCATTTATTTCAATCCTTTCTTCTTCTTCTTACTCAAACCTAAGCTTGAGGATAGAAGGTTTTACTCAATTATATGAAATCTTGCAGTATCATGTAACAAAAAGAACCTTAAATTTGCTGCAGTAGGTGAGCAACTCATTTCTTTGCTCACTGCTGCATTGTGATGCTTTTGTGGTATTTAACACTGTCATTTTAACACTTCCACATTTATTTCCCCCCACCCCTCTAGAACTCCTTGTTGCTTAAAATATCATGTCTAAGTTTACCCAACAGCTGTAACATCTCTGTATTAAGACCATTGACAACAAGGCATCAAGTTTCAGAGCTGCTTCCCAGCTTCTGCTGAGGAATCTATTTGTGTTGGTGCATCTGTGTGGAGTCTCATGCTTGCTGTGCTAAGTCACTGTGCTCCCTGTCACTTTCATAGAACTTTTGAAGTAATTATTTCTTGCAGTACCAAGGGATCTCCAACATCCAGAGGGCATGTTGCTCAACTCAGTCATTGTCTGGGTGCATTGACACCCATTTTAAAGACCCTTGACTCTATTTTGTGTGACTGGCCCCGTGATTGAGATCACATAATTACAATAATTAGGAAGCTCACCTCAGGATATTATCAGAGCAACCCACCCAAACCTAAGTCCATATGGTTTGAAATAGCTAATGAGTCAGTTAATGTGCTATGTCCAGGAGTAATGGACATTCAATATGGATGGCATGAAGACATAATTTACCAACTTTCTGACTGATTAAGGTTTTCCATGTAGACAGTTCTCGTATTTTGCATCTCACAGTAAGTTTAAAGTATTAAAGGCTTTTATGTGTTAAACAGAGCAGAAGAAAACAGCTGAGACTTTTAAAAGGCAGGCAAGAAATTAGTTATCTCTTGAAAGACAATACAATAAATTGGAGATCTTGGAGCTTTCATGTTAAATATACTGCAAACGAATTATTTGAAGAGCTCTATTAAAGTACAGGAAATGACAATGGCAGTAGGTGGTATTTGCTTTAATGCCAAGCAGCCTGCATGAATGAATGACTCCACACTTAGAGGGGCTGTTTTACAACTGTAACTTTTCCATCCAGTCTCTTAACACTCACCTTGCTGCCAATACTGTGGAAATTTGTAATCAGCTCTCCACACAGAACTGATTAATAGGGGGGATTAATACCCTGAGGTTAAACTTTCCAGTGAGAAAAGCACCAAAACTCCTGAAACGGGGAAGAAATTATGTTTGGTTTTTGAATGAGGTGCAGAATCCATCTGCCCAGTTAGGATTCCTCTCTCCTAATGTGTTCCTGCTCTTGCATCATTTTAATGGCTATTGGGATGAGATGTTACTCCCAGCTCCTTCCACTATAGCTGGAGGGTGTCTTCCTTATCTCTTGTATGTCAGAGGTTTTATTGCTCATACCTTTAAGGAAGCAGTTGTTTATGAGAAAGTGTTTTCTTACTCATGTTTATTTACTTTCAGAAAAGCACAAAGATATAATGTAAGTTTATTGTTGCTGTGGGAATGGATTGAATTTACAGGGAGAGCAGAATGTCTAGTGGTTAGAGCACAGAAAGGGATCAGGAATTATATTCTTTATGGGAGTAATTCCTGGAATCAGAATCCTGGCTTTGCTACAGACTGACCATATACAAATTATTTCCTATTTGTTGCATTTAATCTATGTGAAGCAGTCTGGGTGGCTTGTTTTAAGGTGCTGGTATTCTCAGGTGAGAGCTACTGTGTATGTGCAATTGCCATGGCTATTACCTGATGGTGAACATTAGCTCTACCTTCTTGTAGGACAGGTGATGCATTAGAAATGGTCCATATAGTCAGCTCCAATGTATGTTTGTGTTTGTCATTGTTTCTGTTGTTGTTTCAAGCTTTCTTTTCTAATGTAGGCTTTTCCCCTCCAAAACCAAGCACATACAGAACACAAGATTTCTGTGAAGTTGGTTATTACAGCCTTGCAAAGAAAATAAGAAGTTTGCCTCCACTGGCGGTATTGTACATTTTATCCTAGGCATAAGAGCAGGGGGAAGGTTGCTAAGCTTCTATGGTGGTTAACGCTTAGACACCAGGCCTTTTCAAAGGATATCTAGAAATGGAAATGAAGAAATTACAGGAATATTAGTAGGATCTCACTAGTGTTCTTGATTTACAGGAAACAGTGACTTTTCCTCCCCTATAGAGCAGTGTTGTGAAAAGGTTTAGAGAAATGGAGAGGAATGAATCTGGCAAAGCATCTGGGGAGAAGGGCTTTCCATTTCTGAGATTATCCACATAAAGTTGTTTGAGAAAGGAAACTCATCTGTTATAACATTAATTATTCACCTGTCAATGCTACTTTTTATGTATAAAGTTAATTACGATGATAGGATATGTTAAATATGACACATTTCACTGCAAGATTGATTTCTTTTTTCCCTGACCTCAGAATAAATATTGATTTTCATGATCTTTAAATGTAGTGCAAAGGTCATTCTATTAATGGCATATTAATAGAAAGTAGCCCTGACCATGCAATATTAATATATTTGCATTGTTATTTCTCAGATCCCATCCAGAAGGAAAGAGGCAAGGTACCAATGCCTTCTTTTCTAGGAGAAATAAGGAAGCTGTTATTTCAAATGACTGTTCAGACTCCTTTAAATGTGATGTTTTGCTTTGTTTTAGGGTTTGGTTTTTTTTTTTGTTTTTAAAATTAATAACAGTAGTGAAGTGGCAAATAGGTTGTGTAATGTATCTAATAAGATAGATATGTGTTGCTTTTCCAGCATGCCCAAGAAAGCAAGGTGCTGTCATTACCTGATAGTCATAGTCAATTCCATGAGGAGAATCACACTTGTGAAAGAAGACTGATGGGATAATTTGATGGGTTTTTTCCCCCTTTTTTTTTACATTTATGGTAACTCTTGAAAATCCAGGCTTAGAACTGCTGTTCTACTGGTGGCTGAACCAAGGCAGATCTGGTGGCTTTAAGTATTCCTCATAGAGTGATTGTGTATGAATTTTCTATCAAGTCTGCTCTGTAAAACACAGGGAGAAGAGAGCTCACATTGAAATAACCTTTAAATAATGCTGCATAGTGGTCCTGAGAAAGTTGTGCTTCTCAGGAGGTATATTTGTATGCCTTTTATGAACAGCTTTATATGTGGTCTTTCTTTTTAGTGCATGTTTTGAGTGCTTTGTGTCAGGTGACTTAAGTCAAGAGGAAAGATGACAACTTCCATAGTTTACAGACAGCAAGGGGAAGAAATGTCTAGTATGGCATATTGCCATGCAGAAAATAATTCCAATTAAGTAAAGAAAGTGATTTGAGCAACCAAATATCTGGTGGCCTGACTTCAACAGTTTGTACCTTTAGAACTTTGATTTTGGAAGAAGAGTCCATGATGATAAATGGAAACTGAGATAAAATGCAGTATTGCTTTGTGTCATGCCAAACTAACTTGTATCTATGTTTAAGGTAACGATTTACTGGACAAGAGAAGTATGATAGAACCAATTTATTTGGGCTTCCAGGCATTTTATGCAGAATTGTATAGGAAATTATTAATTAAGCTGGAGAATGTAAGTGTAAAAAGTGTGAAACTGGTGAAATGAGCAAGTAATAAACTGAATGGGGAAACAGTGAATGACAAAGAGGTTACTGGTTTCCTAAGGATCAACTTCAGCACCTATTTAATGGCTTAAACCACAACATTGAGTATTACTTACTTCATGAGCAGCAAAACCAAAACAGAAGTGTCCTTACACAATTTGCTGCCGAACATGAAGTTGTGAGGCATTGGAGTATCGGTGCAAGAGAAACAACAGTATTTCATAATGCAACATTTGAGGCTATGCTTCTTTTAGAGTGCTGGTTTGAAAGAAAAAGAGAATCACAGAATGGCCATGAGCTGATAATGTGACTTAAGGAGTCCAAAAGTCAGGCCTGATTCTAGGTTGTATCGGTACTTTCATTATGAGATTCAGAAGACTTATTTGGAAGTGTTTCATTGAGAATTCATCTCTACTGTCCTATATGC